TAGGAATCTAATATGTCCTTGTAATTGTATTAGTATTTCTAATAGAATTTATTTGTCTTTAGCTGTAATTATGTAATGTTAGTTTTGAGTGCTCTGCCTTTAGCCTTGATTGCCCTGTAAGTCCTATTTATTTTAGTGAACTCTTGCAGAGATTTTAAAACTTTTCTTCAAGAATATGAATTTTATAGTGTATGTTTCAGTAAATAATATTAAAGTTTAGCTGTTTTTAAATGGTTATTGGAAAACAACCTAGAACCACAGACATATACTCCCATATAAAGGATTGCATTATGATTGGCTTTTGAAAGCACACTGCTATTTAGACTTTATGTAATTACTTAGGGAAATTTTCTTTGGATTTCAAATGTCAGCTTTAGTAGTTTCATTCTGATCATTGAATTTTCGAACAAAATTTCCTACAGTGTCTCTTAGTATTTTTTGAGGTAAGTGATATGTGTTTCACAGTATGACTATAAGATACAAGCCACACTCTGTGTGCCTCTGATTCATCCTTCTCTTCTTCTGCCAGCGGCAACCTTTGGCACTGCGTCCATGAGCATGCCGGCGGGATTCGGCACGCCTGCCCCCTACAGTCTTCCCACCAGCTTCAGTGGCAGTTTCCAGCAACCTGCCTTCCCAGCCCAAGCAGCTTTCCCTCAGCAGACAGCTTTTTCTCAACAGCCCAATGGTAAGATCGAGTACTTGACTAGGTGTAAGACTTAAATGCCCTTTGCATATCATTAAGTGTTTGAGACAAAGATGTGTCTTAAGAATGCTATAGTACTAAGTGTGTACTACACAAAAAATAGAACCTTCGGCAGTTTGGGCCTCAGGAAGATTGATTTTGTTTTTTGACTACGAATTAGGAGAAATCAGTGACTACCTAAAGTCCTTCTCAGAATCACCTGTCTCTTTTTCCTGAAAGTCCATCTTGTGTGTTCTCATATGCTTCTTGATTTGAAATGGAAACTATTGGCTAGGGTGTTAGTTTTGTTTTGTTTTCATCACAGCTTGTTGTCAGTGTATCTTTAAGGGCACGTGTGTGTGTGTGTGTGTGTGTGTGTGTGTGTGTGTGTGTGTGTGTGTGTGTTTTTAGATTGATTTTCTCAATAGGTAACCAAACTGCCATTGTAGTTTGTTGTTAGAAGAGACAAGAAGATACCATTTCTTTTTACCCAGTTTTTCACTTGCAGAGGTTTGAAATCCATACATTTCAAGAATATTCTTGAATCTTGTGTGTTCATTTTGAAGTTGGTGGTTAGGAAGTACAGTGTACAGAATGGCCATGAGTGGTAGCATGCTCCATGAGAAATACTATGGTGTTCGTTGAAGCTACTGTATTGTTCACATGACCCCTCCCAAATAGCCACACATTCAGCACTTAAAACCTTGAAGGTCAACTTGGACTTGACCATTTCTCAATGCTCTTAATACTTAACCAGTGGACGTTCGTCTCTGGGGTCCGAAGGGCATGAGGTCTAATGACTTTACCTTGCCATTTTATTTTGCTGTCTAGGAGGAATTTCAGATCGTCTCTTGATGGCATATAGTTTATAACTGGTGGTTTTGTTTTAACAAGGTGCAGGTTTTGCAACATTTGGACAAACAAAACCAGTGGTAACCCCTTTTGGTCAAGTCACCGCTGCTGGAGTGTCTAGTAATCCTTTCATGGTGAGTGAGATTCCATTTTAAACACTTTAAAATTAAGTTCTGTCTTATTTTCAAATTAGGAAAAACAGAATGTGACCATTCTATGTGCCACTTAGTATTCTGTCAATATGGCATCACAAGTTGTACAGAGTGCTGCAAAGCCAGTGAGCCTTATGGGATCTTTAGAGAAAGTAGTTGCAAATCAAACACTGACAGCAAATCAGCTATTTTTTCATGTAAAATGTGCTTTTTTTTTTTTTCTTTTTTTTTCTTTTGACAAAATAACAGTTTAGGAGACGCCACTGGATCAGAAAAGGAGTGTTAGAGTTAGAGATTTTCACTTGAACTTTGAAGTTCTTCTTTTAAATGGTTATTTCTTTTTCAGGAAGTATTTAGAGCATTGTATGAACTAATATTTAAAAGACACAGTATAGTCCATAGCATGTAGGGATTTAATAGTTTGTTGATAGTGACACTGAATAGATATTGTCAATAAGATAATCCTTAACAAAGGTTTAAACAAGATTAAGTACAATTTGATGTTTTTTATGTTTTGTACAGATGCCATTCATGTCTATTTTCTCTTTATTGATGGATTTTGTCTTTTAGACTGGCGCTCCAACAGGACAATTTCCAACAGGAAGCTCATCCACGAACCCTTTCTTATAGCCTTACATAGACACTTGACCGGAACAAACTTTGCTGTGGTCGTAGTCCATCTCCGCCTCTTGCACTGTTGTCTTGTTTCACTGATCTTAGCTTTAAACACAAGAGAAGTCCTTAAAAAGCCTGCATTGTGTATTAAACACCAGGTGATGTGTGCAAAACAGAGGGCTCCAGTAACAGCTTTTAACCTGTGAGTTGGCAGAAGGTAGCGGTATCATGTATATTAAAAATTGGCTAATATTAAGTTATTGCAGATACCACATTCATTATGCTGCAGTACTGTACATATTTTTCTTAGTAATTAGCTATTTGTGCATATCAGTATTTGTAACTTTAACACATTGTTATATGAGAAATGTTACTGGGGAAATAGATCGGCCACTTTTAAGGTGCTGTCATATCTTGGAATGAATGACCCCAAATCACTCTTCAGCATCACTTCTGGAAAGTTCAGTCAATATTGGAAGGTTTGATTCATTCTTGAATTTCTCCTTTCTAAAGAGCTCTTCTATTTATACATGGCTAAAATTCTCTGAAGATGTAGAGGGATACCTGTCTGCATAATAAAGCTGATCATGTTTTGCTACAGTTTGCAGGTGAAAAAAATAAATACTAGAAAAGACGCTATTGTTTTTGTGTTCTTGCTGCAATGCCTTTACCAAAGTGGCCTTAAGTAACGAGTAGGGAGTCGAGAACATCTTGAATCTTGAGGACTTGTAATGACTTTCTGTGAAAAGGCCATGTAGAGTACTTGTTCAGACTGCTAGAGTGCCGTGTGCAGGAGTGTCAGTGGCGAAGCATGCGCTTGGAGCTGGCACCCGGAGCTGGCCCGCTTCACCACGCCATTTCTCATTTCTTTGCAGTTTCTTGATTTTGTGAAATTTGTAAATATGAAGAATTTGCATGTATGTGTATTTACAGATATTTTTTAAAGATCTTGAATTCACAGACCGCAAAAGTCCTATTTTAACTATGGATTTTTTTTTCACTTTAATTGTCTTGAATGTATTGGAAGCAGACATGCATTGACTGTGACTTGATTGGCCCAAGTTGTTCATCCCCTCCTTTTCTGGACAATCTGATACTATCTATAGGACATATGTTAATGTTTGTTTGGGGTGGGGGCCAAGAAACTGGAACCCAATGTTACCTTAAAGTAATGGAATACTTTGTTTAAAGGTAAACAATACTAAGTTTAATCTTTGTTAATATTCAGATGAACTTGTTTAAATATTTATATGCAGTAATGCCTCATTCATCCAGAGATTATCTGGTACTCTTATCAAAAACTGAACACAACTAAGAAATCTGAAATAATTTTTAGAGAATGCCTCTGAACAGCACATGTAAGTCATAAAGCCTTGTCAGAGTATTTGCATTTCTTTTAATGTGACATGTGAATGATTTTGGTTATTTTATTTCCTGGTCCATAGTATATTACCTGACGGATGGAGGGAGTCCAAAAAGATGATGAAGAGTCAACAGTGTCCAAGGCCATTTAGCTTAGGGATAGCCAGCTCAGCCTAGGGGACAACTGTACACATCTGATCAATTGTTTGTTATTATGACTCTGTGTCATCAAAAAAAGGGTAAAATTGCATACACAAAATATGTAATACATGTATGAAAAGTTTTATCTTAAAATGATTAAGAATTTTTTAAAGCTTTGCTATTAAATGGCATAAACGATGTAAACATCAGTTTCCTCAAACACTTTATTCATATCGGATGCATTTTTCAGTGATAGCTGTGTAAGTTGTTTTCATAGTGCTTTAAAATCTCTGTAGTGTCTACCAAAACATTGTTTTCCAGTGCCCATCTAGCCGAAAGTGTTTTATATCGGCAGCAACGTGCCTGGCAAATGTCAGCCCCTTTTCTGAGCAGTCTGCCACTTAGAAGTCAGTGATTACTGCACAGGACCAGGTATATTTTGGTATAGTTTTGAATTATTTCTATATTTTTCATTGAGGGAAAGGTTAAGAAATATCTTTAAATTTCTGTATTGTATTGGATCCAAACCAATTCATATGTACAAAAATTCTACTCTATAATTGTAGGCCATTACCCACATAACCTACCAGACTTTCTGTCTAGTTAAGTAAATTAAAGAGTTGTTACCAATATAGTTTTTAAAGACTTTTTGGGTAGTTCTTGAAATTTGAAATTAAATGGGGGAGCTTGTCTTGGCTTTAAGTGAGTGCTCATGAAGCTAAGATACTTAGGTCACGAAGAGTTCCAGGGTTAAAGTGGGTTTTCCATGATCTTTTCTCTTAGAAACAGCCTGCTTCATTTTGACTTTCATGTTGTTTGGGTTTGCTTCTGGTTTTACATTGTGTTGAGTACTAAAAGGAAAATGCCCAGAAGTGAGAAGCTGAGGACCCTCAGGTTTCCTGGCTTACAGGTTGAAACACGTCTTCGTTGTTCTGTCTGTGATCAGGAAAGAAATCTGTCTTTTAAGGTAGCAAAAGCTTTCTTGATAAAGTTGAAGAACGTATCTTGTTCTTGTTTTGACAAAGAATGTTTCGTTCTCATGTTTTATAAAAATAGAGGGTAGGTTGTCTCTTTCTTCCTTGAGATCACCCCTTCTGTAAATCTCAAACTGTATTGTGCAGTGCCCTCTGGCACTGTTCCTGTCATTTGACAGAAATAGATGGGTAACTGCTGACGCTTTACTGCTATACCAGCATTTCTGAAACATTTGGCCTTAGGATCATAGGTTTTTAAAACTGTTGAAGATCTTCAAAGAACTTTTGTTTCTAAAAACCTGTGTCTTTTAGAAGGTAGTGTGTTAGAAATCAATATGGAAGTGTTTCTAAAATATGTCTTCCTTTAAGTATGACCATAATAATCCTATTACTTGTTAACATAGATGTTTGAAGAAAAATAACTTTTCCAAAGTTAAAACTAATAAAACAAGTGTCATCTGTGTTGTGCCCATCTGCTCAATGGCAGGCTCAGTAGAAGCAGTGAGATTTGCATTATGTCACATAGCATGAAGACCTGGGGAAACACACTGTGCACGTGAGAAGCCCAGATGGTAAAGAAGGCATATACCATGTCAGATTTATTAAGAAAGTAGTTTTCAGGAACTGGAGCCATGGCTCAGCGGTTAAGAGCACTGACTGCTCTTGCAGAGGACCTGGGTTCAATTCCCAGCACCCACATGGCAACTAACAACCATCCTTAACCTCCAGTTCCAAGGAATCTGATGCCCTCTTCTAACCTCTGGGTATTGCATGACATGGGCTCACTTGCACACATGCAGGTGATACACTCATACACATAAAGTAACAATAATAAATAAAACATTTTTTAAAAAAGAAAGTAGTTTAACCCAGGACAGCTCTTCAGAGAGTACTGGGGCTCTTCACAGGTCCCTGGGTAACATTTTGAGAACGTAACACTTTGAATTTGTATGTTTCTGGAGCAGTATTTGCCTGTGGGGTAAGCATTGCTGCTTCTGAACCTAAGGGGTTTTTTTTTGGTTTGCCTGAGGGAAAAAACTGACATTATTTACCCATTTCAGAGTAATAATGGCAATATTGTGGTGTGGCTTGTTAGGCCCTTTCATTGTGTCAGATATTGTGGGTGTGGCTTGTTCGGCCCTTTCATTATGTCAGCCACTTAAATGCTTCTCTTATGTTGCCACGTGCCTGTGAGTCCACAAAGCACAGGAGAGTTCATCTGGTAACAGTTTTTGTTCTTTGGAACAAATAATGTTGGACTAAATTGTGGTTTCGTATTTATGTGTGACAATATTATTTATATTGATTTTGAAATTTCAAGTGACTTTCTGTATCTTATATGTCTAAAAATACTTAAATCATTTAATTTGAATTTCTTTTATACTTTTATGAAACCGGTACTGCTTACTCTCTAATTGAGTTAAACTTTAAAGAGTAGTCAGGTGAGTGGTGAGTGGTGGGGCTGGATTTCCCTGCAGCATCTCAAGTTGACAGTGACTCATTTTGTGACATAGCACAGCTTTATTGATGTAGTTACTGCTCTTTACAGTGTTAAAATTTGCTTTTTAAACAAGGTGTAAACATTTGTGTAAATTATATTAGAATATTGAATTTATTGTCAGTTAAACTTTTTGTATACTTTAAAGCAATGTCATTAATTAAGCTTTTTGTGTAATGGTATTTGAACAAATGAATGTGTGACCAGGGTATGACCAGCATACCCTTGTGTGGTGAGTGTATCATAGCCACCTCTTAAGGAAAGGGTACCTGTTTTGTAGGGATGCATGTAAATTACTCCCTGGGGGTTCCCTTGACCTACCAGTCTGATATTCTGAAATGCAGTTTGAAAGAAAACACACCATGCTCTCTCTTAAGCCTCTGCCCTCCAGCACCAGCCCAGCCCTGATGCATAATTCTGCACCTCAATTGCTAGGTTTATGATCACTGATACCAGCTTTTTATCAACCTTTTGTTTTATATCATTATTGTGTACGCATTGGGACTTGTTTGTTTTAGACATATATCAGACACTGATGTGGTTAATCCAGACATACCCAAGTATTGGGACTGCTTTGAAGAAGATGGTTTCCCTGGTGTAGGATTATGTTTCCAGCACCATGTTTCTTTAAGAGCTGGTTTGATGCCTCCATGTAGGGTATGCACTCCTCCTCTGTGGGGTATGCACTCCTCCTCTGTGGGGGTTATGTGCTCCTCCTCTGTGGGGTATGCACTCCTCCTCCGTTGGGTATGCACTCCTCCTCTGTGGGGGGTATCCACTCCTCCTCTGTGGGGTATGCACTCCTCCTCTGTGGGGGGTATCCACTCCTCCTCTGTGGGGGGTATCCACTCCTCCTCTGTGGGGTATGCACTCCTCCTCTGGGGGGTATGCACTCCTCCTCTGGGGGGGGTATGCACTCCTCCTCTGTGGGGGGTATCCACTCCTCTGTGGGGTATGCACTCCTCCTCTGTGGGGTATGCACTCCTCCTCTGTTGGGGGTAGGTATCCACTCCTCCTCTGTGGGGTATCCACTCCTCCTCTGTGGCGGGTATGCACTCCTCCTCTGTGGGGGCCCCTCACCTATCACCTGTGGTGTTCTTAGTCAAACGCTCTGGTGCTTTCAAGGACTTTGAATAGGTAGGAAAGGCAGTGGCTTTTCCAATGGCCCCTTTTATGTGATGTTCGAGTCAGTTGCACAGAATTTGAGTTTATGATGGTCTTTTCTAGTGAACACTTTTGCCAAGGGTGACCACCAGGTGTCCAGTCCACTCTGTGTGTCTTAGACCCATAATTAGACTACATTGATTTGAAATCTGTGCTTGTCTAGTGCTCAGGGTTGTGTGGTTTAATGAGAATAGAGAGCTTGATTCAGGATATTGTAAAAAGAAAAGGTGGTCCTGGACAAAATGTTGTAATTAATGATTAAAATGCCCACTGATTCATTTTTTAATTGGTTTGTTTTCCAAAATCTTGATCGGTGGTTATCTGCATCACAGTCCAAGCCACCACTCAAGGAGCCTGGCAGCTCTGCCTTGGGGTCAGTAACTAGAGGCATGGAAGGGATATGAACTAAGCTTCTGTAGTCAGTGTGTCCTGGAATGTTGTGGGGATAGCCAGGTCTTAAAGACTTTAAAATGTTTTTATGTTTTCTGAAATAAAA